TAGCCCGGGCAAGAAGTCTTCTGTGGTGTTAAATAACTCTAAAAACCTACTGGAGATGCTTCTGAGTAGCCTGATTGGCTTTAACTTGAAGTTCGTTACCTCTGGACTAGGATATGTTAAATGCAGGGCCTGGAAAACAAGCTGAATTCTGCACTGAGCTCAAATTCTGTTTATTTGTAGGGAAAAAAAAAAAAAAATCATCCCTTTAGGCCAGCGGTTTTCAAAGTGTGGGCCCTGACCCGCCAGTAGCAGCTTTATCTGGGAATGTGTCAGGCCCCGCTCTAGACCTGCTGAATCACTGAATCAGAAACTCTGCAGGTAAAGCCTCGCAATCAGTTCTAGAAGCCCTCTCGGTGACACTGATGGAGGTTAAAGCTTGAAACCAGTGCTTTACACTGTGCCTTCAGATTATAAACTTGTTTTGTTTTCTGGCAGAGAGAAGAAAAAAAGGAAAGGATGAAAAAGGGAAAAAGAGGGGAGGGGCAGGAGAGAAAATCAGAAAGATGGGTAAATAAGACCTGAGCAGTCCGGATGGGAAGGCTGTTTACTGAAGTATGACCAGCAGCATGGGGCTCGTTTAGGATCTGGGAGTATTATTCCGGAGCCTTCCTGAGAAACAGTGCGGCAGAGGGATATGTTGACCCCCGGCCAGGGTGACTGGGCAGAATACACAGAGAGCGGCCAAACTGCTGCTATTTGTCCAACATGTGAGAGGACAGTGGGGCATTTCCAGGTGGAATAAGAGTACAGGAAAGCCCCAGTTGCTCTCAGGGTCCCCCAGGATGGACACACAGAGGATACTTAGTAAATGCTCTTTGACTTGACAAAGATTGAACCTTAGTAGCCTACACTGAGTTTCCCCAGCTCATTCTGATCTGGAGAGAGTAGGTGGGTTTACTGGGCCTGGTCTGCAGGGAAGAGCAGGACATGGTCTTAGGGCATCCACTGTGGCCCCTCCCCCTGACTGCTGCGAGACAGCTCGGCTCAGGGGAAGGAGCCCCAGGCTTCAGTACAGGGACACCCGTTCTTACTAGTGTGTGGCCTTAAGCCAGTCACGAACTCTCTAACCTTCAGGCTCACTCCTCCTCTGTAGAAGGAGGATAACAGTTCCTTCCAGATGTTTCTGCTCAGCACTGTCGCACCTGCACCTATACATACAATACTTGGCACACAATAGGTGTCAAATAAGTATTTGTTAAGTAAAAATAAAAAGGAAGGAGGGGGCTTCCCTGGTGGCGCAGTGGTTGAGAGTCCGCCTGCCGATGCAGGGGACATGGGTTCGTGCCCCGGTCCGGGAAGATCCCACATGCCGCGGAGCGGCTGGGCCCATGAGCCATGGCCGCTGGGTCTGCGCGTCCGGAGCCTGTGCTCTGCAACGGGAGAGGCCACAACAGTGAGAGGCCCGCGTACCGCAAAAAAAAAAAAAAGAAGGGAGGAAGGAAAGAAGGAAGATCGGTTGATTTTTGTGAGGCTTCTATGAAATAACGCTTTGAGAATGCCTAGCATAACATTGTTGGTACAAAGATGTACTGTTAAGCGGTATCTATCACATGAGGAGGAAGAGAAAGAAAAATCGATTCAGAAAGAAGCCTTCTAGGTGCCTCGAATTGGGCCTGTGTCCTTGCTGAGCATCTGGCCCTGCCCCCCCACTCTTCTCTCTGCACCTACACTCGCTCCACCTTCCAGCTTTACCTAAGGGGCCACCCCACTTGGGGTGCTGAGTCCATAGCCTTCAAGTCCCATGCGTAGTAGGCGGTCAAAATGACCTTAGAACTGAAATGAACTGCAAGTGTGTGGCCAGACTTGGTGGCGGGGGGGGGGGGGGGGGGGGGTCAAAAGGGGGACTGACGTATTTTCGATCCCTGTAACTAAGGAATTACATGTCAATTATTTTAGGTTGTTTTATTTCTACGATAGGTAATCATTGACCTTTTGGTTAACACACGTCCCGCATAGTCATAGTAAGCATTTTTCGTAATACCCTTCCCACGTGTTGTTAAGTTATAGAAATGCCATTAGCTGCCTTCATTTATATGATTAAAGGGATGCTCTCATCTTGAGAATGTTTGGATATCCCCTGCCTTCCCTTAAATACCCCTCCCCCTTCCCCTTTGAACATCAGTACAAAGGACCAACCTGCCAACTCAAGAAAGGAGAGAAACTGGAAATGGTATTTATTATATTTGCTGAAAGTCCTTGGTTATCAATTCTTCTCCAAAGAGCATAGGTTTTGGGAATCAGACTTGAGTTGATCCCAAACCCACCTACTATCAACTTTGTGACCCTGAGCAAGTTACCTAACCTTTCTGAGCCTAAATTTGCATCTATATTCTATAGGGATCTTGTTTGGATTAAATAGCCTCTGCAAATATATCTACAATAAATACACACCAAAAGTTAGTTTCCTTCTTTCACCAGTAAGTCGTGCAAGCACACCCAACAAATACAGACCATCGGAAAAAGTAAGTTCTTGCCCAGACCTTGGTTGCAAGCTTGGACACAGAGAAGGATGGATGGGAGAGGTTTATGTTCATTCAATGAGACACACAGCTCCTTCTTACCATCTGAAAGAACTGATGGGGTCCGAGAAGTATTCTTCTATAGTTTGGGGTCAGCTGTGGTAAAGACAATCATGGGGAAAGGTCCTTTCAGGCTCCTTGCCAAAAACAGAGTATCATTCTCTTCCACCTTTTGGACGTTTTTTTTCTTTTTTTGTGGTATGCGGGCCTCTCACTGTTGCGGCCTCTCCCGTTGCAGAGCACAGGCTCTGGACACGCAGGCTCAGCGGCCATGGCTCACGGGCCCAGCCATTCCACGGCATGTGGGATCTTCCCGGACCGGGACACGAACCCGTGTCCCCTGCATCGGCAGGCGGACTCCCAACCACTGCACCACCAGGGAAGCCCCACCTTTTGGATTTTGATGGCAGGTGGAACAGTAAAGATAAGGAATGGGCTTAGACTTTGGAAAGTGAGTACTCAGGGGTCATCAGAAGATGCCTTCCTTTGGAATGCTGTCAACATAGAGAGTGCCTGCCGCACTGACAAGCACAGCACTGGAAATGGACCCCATACACACACGCAGTGATCCACTGTTTACTGTAAAACGAGCAACTCTCTAGCTCTTGAGCAAAACAGCAGCAGCCTAGTGGGTGTTTGTGCCCAAGAAGAAATCAGAGAGAAAAAGAAAGCTACCGCCAGGGACACCGTTCTGACCTAAGCATTGTTCTCCATTGCCTTTTGGAGAGTCATAGTCGGTTTTTCCCTATTAGTATCGGTAGGCTTTGTTAGTTCTTGAAACACCTCTTAAAAGGCACTGTAAACAGTCCCTGTTGGGTTATTGTGCCTTCCAGCTAAGCTTGAGCTCCTGGGGCTGGCTTGGAGGTCAAGCTTGAGGGCTGCCCTTCTCACCCGGGGCCTCCACAGCCTCCCAACCGTGGCAGGGTTACAGGAGGACACTGAACTGAGGAGATCCATGGGAGGACAGGCAGAAATGAGGCTCCTGTAGGGTTTTAACTGCACAACGGAAAACAAAACTGCAAGTAGGCTTCCAGTATGACTCAGCTGTCTCATCAGTGACTGTTTATTTACTTCTTTGACCAAAAGCCAATGAGTGAAATGCGGAATTAGCCCTGAAGGCAGGGGCCAGGGCTTCTGGTGACATTTGCTATTGAAACTGAGCTGGAATCAGTCTTTGACCTGCTGGGGATAAAAAGAAATTGGTATTTTTAGGGCTCTTCTTTGGACCGTAAATCGGCAACCCTTGAGCTGGGGGGAATTACCAGTATTTGCCATCTTCCCTCACTGGCATTTTATCTTCTGAACACATCCAGTTCAGATTGCAGTGCTTTTTACTTTCAGCTAGCCTTGGGAACCGGAAGGGTCTCAAGAAGGCGTTGCAAACAATGAATAATTCAGGCTTTGGCAAGGACACACAAGAAGACTGGAAACCAGATGCAGTTCAGTCACGCTCAGTCTGCTGGCATATCCTGTATCGGAAAAACAGTCAAAGCAGTGGGTTGAATGGTGGCCCCTCCGTAAAAGCTATGTCCACGTCAAACCCCTAGAATCTGTAAATGGTATCTTGGATGTGGATTATCTGATTGGGCCCTAAATCCAATAACAAGTGTCCTTGTAAGGGATGCACAGAGGAGAGACACACAGAGAGAAAAGGAGGAGTGTGAAGAGAGAGGCCGAGATTAGGGTGAGGCTAAAGAACTCCAGGACTGCCAGGAGCCACCAGCAGCGAGGAGAGAGCCCCCCAGAGCCTCTGCAGGGAGCCCAGCCTGGCAGGATTGTGGACGTCTGGCCTCCAGAAGCGGGAGAGGACACATTTCTGTTGTTTTAAGCCACCTAGTTTGTGGTGATTTGTTACAGGAAACTAACACACCATATGCTGGAGATGGTGCTGGGGTCAGGGAGTAGCCCGTAAGCCAAAAGAGATTCTCAAGGAGGCTTTTCGTGAAAAGGAAAAGTCCTGCTCTGGGCTCTTTGTAGCAGTGCTCTTGGCGTGTTTTACTTTTTCCTCTATAAACTCGAATCCCCCGTTTTATTAACCTACTAGAGGAAAGAAAGAGCCTACTTCTGTCATCCTTCCTTAAAGAAATTGACCGTTACGGGCAAGGGGCATGTTTCCTCAACCAATTTTGAGAGCTGCCCCATTCTTTTCCTTACATTCCTACCACTCCAGCAGCCCAGAACGGTGTCTAGCCAGCATATTACATGTTTATTAGTTTCCTGAAGCTAATTGTGCCATCTTAAGCTCCTTCAGATCTGCCTCTCTGCACCGAAGGCAGGAGGAGAATATAACCGAGGAAAAGGTGGACATTTCTTACTCTATTATCTCACCTACCACGAAGGAAACTCTGTAAATCTTCTCTCAGCCTTAACAAACCTTTGGTTTACAGGAAGCACGGGAGACTTGATCTATCCTCAGTCGTGCCTTTCAGAGGACCCCAAATGTCAATTTTTAAGTTAGCCAACATGCAAGCTAAATATTTTAACTATCATTTTATTTCCATCCAGGCCAAGGGGCAACTTAGAAAAGGTTCTGTTCTAAGTCCATAGCCAAGGAAGTGTGGAAGGGCCACGGGTGCCGTTGTTTTGAAGGCAGCCTGTCAGTCATTGCGATTGAAACATAACCCCGATTGCTTCCACAAGCATAATAAGATGCTTTGCAAAAGGTTGTCGAATTGTAGGATGTAATAAAGTCTGCTTAGCTTCAGTTTCAGTGCCGCAGGGTCCTAAAGCACGAGCCCCATTTCCTTATGCCTTGGGACTTGTTTGAGTTCCTTTGGTGCCTGGAAATGACAGAACATAAACCAGACATTTAGTTAGAACAAATAGCATTTTTTTTGAACCATGGCAATAAACAAAATGTAAATCTGCTTACTGCCGATCTCTTAGATTGCCATTAACACGTTACACGAAGCCATACAGATGTGGGCCGGTGGCGCGACATAGGTGGGTTCCAGCCCTGCAGATGCCCGTACTCCCTGGATCTCCACCTGTTCTGTGGCTTCTGCCCACAGCCTAGGCCCCAGAGGTCAACCGCATGGTCTCTTAATCTGCTTTAAGGATGCAAGTCTTACATACAAAATGAAGCCAATTCAGACCTTGAATTAGGTAAGAATAGATTCTCAAATACAGACGTTATCAGAAGTACCTGGCAAGCTTGTAAGAAAAACACAGATTTCTCCAGCCTGTCCTCCACGTTCTGAATTAGCCGGTGTGGAGAGAAGGCCAAGAATCTGTGCTTGTTAGCAAGCGTCCCTACGATCATAGTCTGAGGCACCCGCCGCTGGATGGGGGAATTCTTGAGCTAGTGTGTAGCATGCAGAATCAGCTTTGCTTCAAGGCCAAGTTACCTGAAGGGTTTAGGCCAGGCCTAAACAAAGGACTTCTACTTATAAAACAGGAAAGTGGGGGAAGCCCTTTAATCTTATTTGCGGGAAAAAAAAAAAAAAGATAATTCCTAGCTCACAGAAATGTATTTCATAGCTCTGATACCCTCTCTTTACCCCAAAGGAGAAGCTGTCGGATACTTGGCTTCTGGGCCTTACTCACTGGGATTAGTAACGTGGGTGTGGTCAGGAGCTGGATTAGCCGGGGCTGACTTGCTTGGGGGACATTCCAAGGGCAGACCATTCCAGGAAAGGGAAAATTAAATAGGAGGGAGCGAAAGAGCAGAATTTTACAGGCTAGATTTCATACAATTTGGGGGAGGTTGAAAGAAAAGGCTCTTAGGAGATATTAGGGGCAGCTACCATGGGTGTGATATACGAAGAGATTTTGAGAACCACTGTGGAGAAGCACAAATGGACTTTCCTTCAGGGTTTTCCAGAGACTTCAGTGAAGATTTACATGGCTTTTCACTTACTGTTCGCTATTCATGGCTTTGAGTGCAACACTGTGGACACAGACCTGGGAGGCCAAGGTGCAAAGACCCAGCTTCCTGCTCGTTCCCGTGTGTAGTTCAAGGATATGCTCAATACCTCAATACGGGCCCATTCAACCCCACTGGGTGAGGACACACGGGCACACACTTCAGCCTCTGGCTCATGCAGTGAGTTTTCAGTGAGTCCAGCGCTATACTTTCTCTGTAAGTTCATAAGAAGGCCAGAGAGCAAAGGGCAGGCAGGGCATCCCTTTGGAATTACATCTGCTCCCTTCCAGGATCCAGAACACAGAAACCAACTCACTTCTGCTTCAGCCTTCACACTTCGGTTCAGGATCCCCTCCCCGCCTCCCCGCCTCCCCAGGTCCACTGATGTCTGTAAGCGTGGCGTGGGAAGTAGGGGGTGGGTACCAGTCAATTTGCATCCTCCCAACCCCCTGCAGAAGGGGGCCTGTCTCATTCCTGTGTGATGCTGGGATCTTTCCCTGCTGTTCCCAGCACCACCCATCTTGCTCGCACACGTGCGTCATCTCCCGCTCATTCATCATTGCCCGTGTCCTTGAACGATTATTGCCTCTGAGTCAGAGGCACCTGTGCAGGCCTGAAAATGGATGTGCTCTTTCTTTTCCTCCGCCTCACCTGTCGAGGGCAGATTTATGTCCTAGGAGAAGTTTCCCTCGGTTTTATTTTTGGTCTTTTAAACACCGCGGCCCTGTGTTATTTCCTTCACCCGCCCTTCCCGACACCAGCCCTGTCATTTCTGAATCTCCCGGGTTGCCTGTGCGTCCATTCCTGAGCAGGCCTTCTGTCAGTCTGCTTCTGATGCTTCTGCAAAGCATGCCTCACACGGCCTTGGCATTCAAGCCGTCCGCCTGGCTACTTAAGGCTCTGTCTTCAGCAGTTCCTTCTCTCCAACTAGCCTGGAAGCTTTTCATTGCCAGAGCACAGCGAGTGAACATGTTGGACTTTGAGACTTGGGGCAGAAGCCCAGCCTTGTCATTTACTGGCTGCGTGTGTGTGTGTGGGTGACGTAAGACGTGCAAGGTTGGGGCTGCGGGAAGGACTGAGTGGGTGAACACACGTAAAGCGCTCAGAGCCGTGCCTACCGCATCAGAAGGACCCACCAGTGTGAGCCTCTGCTGCTGTCCTCATCACTGCTTACTCTCTGTGTTGCACAGCAAGGCAGAGGCCACCAGGCAGCAGAGGCCCACGAGCGTCAAAGCAAGTGAAAGTCAGGCTCAGCTACAAGGCCGGAGATTCGGCCTCATTATCCAAGAGGGCACATCTGGGCAACGGACTCACCTTGCCATCTTCTGGTTGGACTGCATGTACCACGTGCCCTTCATGTCCCCACTTCCCTTTGATCTCACCTTTAGGCAGTGGTGTTTTCAATGCCATGTGGGCGTATCAACAAATGTATTTACTGAAGCATGAATAAGGCTCTAAGGAGGGTGCCAAGAGTTGGACAATGAGATCCTCGAGGTGCTTCCAGCCCATTTGGGGAAACCCATCACCCAGGGTGAGGCAAGGCAGTAGATAATCGGGTGCCAGGTGAGCAGTCCAGAAAATGTGGGCTTTTGGGGTTCTGAGAACAGAAGCCCAGAATGTCTGAGGTTTGACTGATCCCCCTGAACACGTGCTTTTCAAGTATTTCTGTGTTCCTGAGGAACACAGTGAAGATGAGCTGGGACTGTCCCCTCCCCCTGCAAGGCCACGCTGGAGGAGGAACAGGTGGCATCACGAAGCTCAGAGCAGGGGTGGCTTTACAGAGCAGGAAATGGAGACAGAAGGGAGGCCCCGTCGCTCTGCAGGGTAGAAGAGATTTTTGGAGAGGGGAGCTTTGAATTAGGAAGGAAAATAAAACAGTCCGATGGAGAAGATGTAAGTAAGTTTTGTTTTGTTTTTTAACATCTTCATTGGAGTATAATTGCTTTACAATGGTGTGTTAGTTATTGCAGCTCTATTTACAATAGCCAGGACATGGAAGCAACCTAAGCGTCCATCATCGGATGAATGGATAAAGAAGATGTGGCACATATATACAGTGGAATATTACTCAGCCATAAAAAGAAACGAAATTGAGTTATTTGTAGTGAGGTGGATGGACCTAGAGTCTGTCATACAGAGTGAAGTAAGTCAGAAAGAGAAAAACAAATACCGTATGCTAACGCATATATATGTAAGTAAGTTTTGAGTAAGATCTGCTGTGTGGGCTGTAATCCTTTTGCCCATCTCTCCCTGAAACCTTCAGGAAAGTCTTTGGAATCGATTTGCAGTTTGTTGTCCCGCCTGAGTGAGTACAGGGTAAAAGCAGGGGGCCAGGGGATCCCAGCCGGGGTCTGAACTGAACCACGCCAATGTTTCCTTAAACATGAGGGCATCATCAGGCTTCCATCAGGCAGAGTCCTCTGTTTCCAACAGTTCCAACCACCCTCTGCGTATATTCAAGGGAACCTCTTCTTACTGTGTCAATGAAGGAGACTCTTCCCTATTAACCCTGTCCCTCCTCCATCCTAGAGGCCCAGGGGAGGAGGACCCTTCTGTCTTGAAGCTAAGAAAACAGATCACTGTCTCTCTTTCTAAAGATGAACCTGGGTGGGAGCTGACCCCAGGTAATCTACCTTGGTAGAGTGTCAGAGGAACTTTGGGGACCATAAAAACACAATCTGCCTTCCTGTTTCTTTAAAGTAGTGTCTCTCACCTACTTTGTGGTTTAGACCCCCTGGGGAGGTCTAAACAATACCAAGCCTTCACCCCAGCCCTAGAGATTCTGATCTAACCATCTGGAGCGTGGCCTGGGCTGGCAGGGAATTATTAAGTGTGAAGGTGAAGCCTCCAAGCTTGTCTCTCTCTTCATTCAATTCCAGAGTGTGCTCCCAGGAAAATGCCCCAAAGGCCCAAAGCAATTCAGTTGCTGGAGACAGGTTTCAGGAGGCTTCAGTGGCAAATATTCAACTTCTACTAAGGCTGTCTGTCCTCTGCCCTCTTAGCAGAGCCACACGTACGGGACAAGTATTGTCCATCAAAGGTAGTGCCTCTTGCCCGCAAGGATGAATAAATTAACTTGTTTTGCCTCCATCCCAAAGCTGACACAGAAATGGTTTTAAAACAGAGTAACTACACTCGCCCACAAAACAAAGCTGTGAGACCCTAACATAAAATTCCTCTGTAATAGCTCTCTCTTTTTTTTTTAAAAAAAGTAATTCTTCGTTTGTAGCAGGCTCCAGATACAGGCAGACAGCCGTGGAAAGTCATTTTGCTCACAGCAAAAGCAAGGTGAGCCATTTTCTAAGGGCAGGCACCTCTGACCCCTGCTTTTCAGTTTTTTCTTAATAAACTGGTCTCAGAAATTGGACCACAAAAGCTGCTGATGGCCATCTCTTACAGTACGTGGGTAAAAAAAGAAGCTGGGGGAGAAGAAATGGGAAGGATCAGAGAGCCACTCTGACTATGAACCGAGGCGATGCAATTATCCATCCATTTACAGCCAGGAAGGGGTTACCCTTCCCCAAGGGCAGTGGCCAGAAACCCAGTGATGTGAGGATGGACTCAAGAGAGCAGGGCAACTTCCCAGCACTTTTTCTCACTCAAAACGGTTCCTCTGTGGCTGGTTACACCTGCGGATCAATAACACAACTTCCTACTATGAGAGGGTGTTACTTAACTTCCCTTTAAACAGGGTCTGTTTCCCAATCCTCCGCATTTGTCACCTTGAGCGGGGTTCCGGGCACCATGTGGCCAGCCCCCCTCAGGAGGGGAGATGCAGACCTCTGCCCTGAAGCGGGGTCGGGGCTCACCCCGGGGCTGTCCTTTATGGAGTGGCCACAGACTCAGCATTGTCACTCTTCTCTTTGAAGGGATAGATCAAACACAAAGAATATTACTCAGCCATAAAAAGAAACG